AGACAAGGAAAACATGAAGAACCATCACAGATTAGAGGAGTCTAAAGAGATGAAGACCGACCCCGACTGAGTGCATTGTGGGATTCTGAATTGGATCCTAGATCAGGAAAAAAAGAAAAAGACATCAATAGTAAAACTTGTGGCATTCTAACAAAGTCTGTAGGGGTTTTTTTAAATAGTTTTGGATCCAAGTTAACTTCTTCTGTTCCTTGTCCTTTTATGAAAGATGCTAACATTTGGGGAAACAAAGAAAGGGATATATAATAACTCTCTGTACTATCTTGGCAACTTTTCTGGAAATCTAAAATCATTTCCAAAATTCTGTATATTCCTGTTATTTCACCTGAATAGACCACTTCTGGAGAGAAAAGCAAATCACCTACATCCATAGTAAAAACAAAGCATTGGTCCATGCCAAAAATCAGATTTTCAAAATGTACAGTCTATTGTGCATTTTGCAGCTAGTGGAGGTGCTAGGAATGGGGAGTGAATGGTAAAGAGGTCTCTTTGAGGGTACTTGGCTTATTTGCATGTAATTCATCTGCATGAAACTGAAATAACAGTGACTCAACGAGATAGAAACTGCTCCAGGTGAACACAGTAGTTCTACATTATTAGGGGCCTGGGCTCCTCTTTGAGCATCAACTTGTGTTCCAAATGGCTTCTGAAGCACCAGGCATTAAATGAGCACTGCAGGCTTAGGAAGGGGGAAAGGAACAAAAATCTGTGCCTCATCCCCCTTTAAGATTTCCTCACAAAATTCCTTCTATCTCCCTGACCAAAACTTAAACATATCACCATACCTAGCTGCAAAAGGGGCTGGGGGTGTAGTCTAGATGAGTACACGGACCCTCCAATATATTAGGGGTCTGTTACTAAGGAAGGTAAGAGAATGGATATTAAAACAGGCCATTAGCAGCTTCTGTGAGAGRTACCAAGCGAGAGAGCCCAGGAAGACATTTTCACTTAGGATGGTGAGTCTGACCAATCCTGGAACCTCTTTTGTGTTCCTCCAGGCCCCTCATTTCTTCTTTAATCCCAAAGTCTTTTTCTGGGGAGACTCAACCAGCCCTTCTTTCTTTCCAGAAGCACCTCAGTCCTGGGTTTGGACTATGACCCAGTTGGTGACCTCAAGTTCCTATTCTCTGTTACTATGCAGGACCCCAGACCCTCCTACCACCTCCCCCAACAGGCATGCCCCACAAGAACAGGGAATTTCTCTTTCAGAGATTGGTTTTGATCCAAATAGGTGGATTTTCTTTCTGCCAGGCTCCACATACCATAGCTCCATCCATACATCCCAAGTATAAAAGAAAAGGTATCATACCAGGAGCATCTTGAGCCATCCATGGTGCTCACATATCTTTAAAAATAAAGGAAATGTTGGCGATCTTTCATCATGTCAATAATTAAGAGTTCTGGAGAAGATATACAGGCGATCGACAAGTGTGTGAAAAAGCGTTCAACATCTTTAGTAAATCAGAGAAATGCAAATCAAAACTACTCTAAGATTTCATCTCACCCCAGTCAGAATGGCAGTTATCAAGAATACAAGCAATAATAAGTGTTGGTGAGGACATGGGGGGAAAGGCACACTCATACATTGCTGGTGGGACTGTAAATTGGTGCAACCACTTTGGAAAGCAGTATGGAGATTCCTCAGAAAACTTGGAATGGAACCACCACTTGACCCAGTTATCCCACTCCTCAGTTTATACCCAAAGGAGTTAAAAACAGCCTACTACAGTGACACAGCCTCATCAGTGTTTATACAGCTCAATTCACAATAGCTAAACTGTGGAACCAACCTAGATGCCCATGAATAGATGAATGGATAAAGAAACAATGGAAGATTACTCAGTTTTAAAAGAGAATAAAGTTATGGCATTTGCAAGTAAATGGATGGATTTGGAGAATATTACGATAAATGAAGTAACTAAATGAGTCCCAAAAAACTAAAAGCTGAATATTTTCTCTGATTAGTGGATGCTGATATATGGGGGGGGGCAGTGATGGGAAGAATGGAGGAACTTTRGAAAGGGCAAAGGGGAGGGTGGGAAGGGCTATAAGGGTAGGAAAGGTGGTGGAATGAGATGGATGTCATTACACTAGGTACATGTATGATTGCATGAGTGGTGCTTCTCTACATCGTGTACAGAGAATTGAATCATTGCACTTCATTTGTGCACAATGAATTGAAATGCATTCTGCTCTCATGTACAAGTAGAATGAATGAATGAATGAATGAATGAATGAATGAATGAATGAATGAATAAGCAAGCAATCTCTGGGATTATCACACTTTTTTATTAGGAGGAAGTAGAACATTGAAGAAAACTGCCATAGGTAAATCTAAGTTAGTTTTGATTAGCCTCTGAGGGTAGTTTCAACTTTAAATAAACAGCATCTCTTTCCCTGAAACCCTGAAACATGTTTTAAATAACGAAAAACAGAGGCTTGATATTCTTCTATCCAGATCAAAAAGGAAAAGGAATAGACCATGTTGTTCGAAGGCCAGCAGTTCCTTGGGGAGAGAGCCAATGTCGCCATGCAGGACTGTGGCCTTTGTGAAACCCTCTCTGTGCTTGCCCATCCTGACCTGCTCAGCTTGTGTTTCACTGACCTGGTTCAGTTGTGCCTTTATCCTTCCTCTCCCCAAAACCATACAATGATCCTCCGAGCTGGGAAAAAGAAGGGATAGGGGAATTGAAATATGAGCAAGAGATTTAGACCCTGGTAAGATCTATAAGACGCAGTAAAAGTGGAGGAAAATGATAGATCCCACATAGCTTTAGCAATCCAGGGGCAGAGGCACTTTGATCAACACCAAAAGAGTGAGCAAGATTCTCGCAACCTGTCTCCTTTCCAAGGCAAAGCCTAGAATTTTGGTAAGACGCGTGTAAGAGCAGAGGTCCTGAGACAGAGGTCCTGAGACAGTGCATGTGATACCCAAGCACACCAGGGTCCTGGAGGAATGTCTTCCTGGATTGAGAGAGGGCCGCGGACCAAGGCTCATGTAGGGTGGGTGGGTGGGGAAGGGAATATACCCTCCTGGAACAAAATTCAGCTGTTTTTCCTCTGACTTTATTTTACTTTAGTAAAATCTGGTATATTTTCATTCAAACATCAGAACCTGTGTCTTCCACTTTTCCTTTGAAATGCTCTTGACCCTTGCATTGGTAGCTGTGTTTAGTGGATGAAGCCATTACAATCTAGAAAATCCTGTGTGTGTGTGTGTGTGTGTGTGTGTGTGTGTGTGTGTGTGTGTTTGGACAGATTTGACTTAGGAATCATCCGCTGACTATCCAGTGGGTCTGCCTGTAGAGAAATATCTCCTCAAGGATACATTTGTTTCATCACAACTTTCCTATAATACTCAGGCTGAGTTTAGAGTTCCTACAGAAGAAAGATGTCCGTCATGTTAGAACACTGAATTGATAAGCTTTAAAGCCAGGAAAGACCAGTTTCCAGAGGCAGGGAAAAAAAAGGCTCAGAGAGCTGAGGGCCTTCCTAAAGGACACTCTTCCTATTGGGTACCAGAGGTGTCCACGCTTTGCTAGAGCCCTGTTGATTATCCCCTTATGCCACACTATTTTCAGTCTTTTCACTTGCCTAGTGTGAAATTAGTTTGACATTCATCAATATTTTCTTGAAGGACAAAGGAAGTTAGGCACGGCCTTGTGATTTCTTTTGGCCAGTGAAATGTGTGAGCAGAAGGAAAGTGTTTCACTTCCACTTTAAGAACCAGTATGGAATTCACTAAGTTCCCTTTCTGCTGCCATGGCAACAGGCAACATATTGGATAATAGAAGTTCCACCAGCTGAGGACAATGAGGAGCAGAGAGGGAGAATGTGGAGCAGAGCCCTAGATGACTCATAAAGGACGTGTCATGAGGGAAAAATCAACCTTCATAGCTTTAAGCCACTGGGATTTGGGGGTTGTTTGTTACTGCGACATCACCTAGCCTATCCCTATCAGGTAAGCCTGATGTACATCATTATTCCCATAATGCATCTCTGTGCTGAAGGCTTAGGAGGGCCCACAATGCAGAAAATCAGAATACAACTCCATAATACATTCTAAATTCCATGGATCGCCAGCATTCTTTCTTTCTCTTGGCTTATATTAGGAGGGGGGGATGTGGTTCATTATAAAGAATGAGTATTTTGATAGCTTCTCATTCTTGGAACTATTCTGCAGGTAAGTGCCGGGTGGAAATTTCCTGTAGTTCTAGAGTTTAAAATAGTGAATCGATTATTTTAATAAGTTTAGTGTATTATGACCTCAAATGCATCACCTTGTACTTACACATACATGTGCAAAAATCTTTGGTTTCATTGGAGGCTTTTTATCTAGATAATTCTCAACACTTTACAAAGTTTCCTGACTTTATAAGCACCAGCATTATGGCAAGTTGGTGCTTCAAAAGCCTCCCATCATCCAACATTTCAGATTAACAATTATAAAATAAATGGGAGATCTTTTCAGAGTAGTAGGAGAGACTGTGTGACCTTGAGTAAATCACTTAGCCTTTCTGGGCCTTAACTTCCTCCTCTGTAAATTAAGGAGARTCAAAGTACTTATCTCCAGAATTCTTTCGAGAATGAAGCTGGGTCACRCACATCCTGTGTGTTTGATGTCAACTCTATCCGAGCCTTAGAATACTTAGAAATCTAGAAAACAAGTTACATACAGTGTTTCCGCTTCTCAAGAAGGGTGAATTCGGAAACTATTTAGTCCACCAAGTAGTGATAATTCTGGGAAAGATTTTTTTTTTAAAAAAATGGTCCTATCTCCCCGGTGAAGGTTTTAACACACTTTTAAAAACACAAACAGATGGATAGGAAAGTAAGTACTGCTAACTGGTTAGGAAAATTTTTCCAAACCCCCTGCTGAGGGCATAGATCCAGCAGAGAAAACTGTTAAAGGGTTAGACTCATTTATATTTTTTCCATCTTAAACACTTGGACTTTTCCAGGTTTAAAACAAAGCTCAGAAAATGCTAAAGCTTAATGGAGAATTGAGCACTGCCAAGGAGCTGAAAGATCAGGTAAGGCTCCTAACTCGGCCGCACACATGGAGTTGAAACTGGCTTAGGAGGGACTTCCTTTCTTTCCAAGTCTCATGGCTCAAATTCCAGGGATAAGCATCCCAAAATATCACAGATAGAAGTAGACAGCGGAATGTAGAGTTCAAGAGCTCAGAAACTTGAGCTAGGTGGATCTGGGTCCGCATCTCATAGCAGCATGACGTTGAATGGGACTTTCTCTGAGCTTTCTTGGCTTCACCCAGAAAATATCAGTGACACAGGCTTGCTATCAGGGTCATGAGATASGACGGGAAAACAACACTTAATAAATGTTTCTTACGGTTGCCAATGTGCTTTTTTATCTGGAATGAGATGGAAACGGAGTCCTCTGATTTGTCTAACATTTTGATCAAACTGTACATGTATTTCCTGACTTTTTCCAGAAAGGATGGAAGGGGGCTGTTTTAGTTAGTAGATCGGTATCCCAGATGACCTATGCTTTTTAACAATCCTCCTACTAAGAGGTGAGCAACTTCTAAAACAGGCATTTCTGCCCCTTGCCTGCTGGATTAGGAGCCATAAGGGATTTGCTGCCCGTTTTGCAGAAAACTGCCATCTGGTATGGATTTTCTAGAAGTCCATTCCTTCATTTCATTTAATTTGTTCCAAAATTCTTATTCACAGGCAAAACCTTGCGTGAGTATCCATTAATCTCCATCATATGTAACGTGAAATCTGCAATGTTTCTATCAATGTGAATGTAACTTGGAAATCGAGTGATATCAAAAGTAGTGTTGGAAACTGCTGTAGATAACTATAAACTCTATCACGACAGGTACAAGATTCCTGAAGCACAATTAGTTTTCAAGCTTTCCTGTTCAGTAAAGCATAGCCATCACTATGAATTGGAATCTGTTGAATCGTTGTGGTATTAATGATAGTTTTTTTAAAAAATGGCTTTCCATTGTTTATTGAAGTTTTGCCCTTATCTCAAATAATTTCTCAAAGAAGATAGCATTGATAGTGTTGTTGGTTGACTCTAAAATTGCCCTAAAAACTGCCACCCATGTTGCACCAAGCTTTCTTGTTCAAGTGCCAAACCCCTGGGAATGCTGCCATTTTGAATCTACATAGTGCTTTTGAGCTCTAAAATTGATACTGAGTTCCAAGCTTTAATTTAACCCCAACTCCCCCACAAGAAGAAATATGAAACTATCCTTTGAAGACTAAATACATATTTACTTTTTTGAAATATGTTTGAGAAGGCATGCAAAAAAAGCCACTTAATCAATACAGAAATTTACCTCCGTAAATAGCCTGTTTTAATTATCATACATATGGTAGCAACTGCGGTATCAGTACTCATCATTTTGCCTGTGGGCTGTCAGCTCTGCTGGTGTCAAATGCTTCTAAACAGAGTGACCAGGTTCCACCTTTATATATAAGCAAAACTGGGCATCTAAATATATGGCTTGTCTGAATGAAAACCCACCTGGCAGCAAGGACTTGTGATTTCAGCCATCGCTAATGACTCCAGAYCCAGGATAGGATCAGATGGTGCCTGAGGGGTCAGTGTTATAACTCTCAGTTCGTCTCCAGCCCCAGTCCTGGTTGCAGAGCTATGATGGATGAAATGTCAGATTAAATCCATTCCTACTGCATATTGAAACTCCAAAAGGCATCCTCCTGGAATTTAGCCTTCATAAAGTAGATAGGATTATAAATAGTTCACAGCTAAAATCTGTGCAAGATATTAGCAGGAAATTAAATTTCCCGGGACTCCAGGAAAAACCTTCCTTCTGGAGTTCGGAGRTCAGCACAGCTTCTTCTAACAACTACCTGTAGTTACACAGGGAACATGGTTCATGGACATAGTCTACTGCTCCTCAAGTATTTCTACTCCTGTTCTGGGGCTTCAGAACTCCYTGATGGTTTGGTTTTTAGGAAGGAATGGTTAGATTTCGATTTCAAATGCAGATTTCATGTGACATTCAGCAAGAGTCATTTGTTATTCAACTGTCTTAGGGAATCTTCAAAGAAAGATGATTTATTCCAAACCTCTTGTTTTATGAATGAAGAAATTTCCTCAGAGACTCTGAGCTGGTGCTAAATATCCAAATTAGATGAGATCATCTCCATTAAAGATCCAATTCTGAAGTCCTCGTGGCATTAAAAGAATACGGCTAGCAGGCCTTTTACTCAGAGGACATCCAAAACTAGAGAGACAGGACATTTTTATTACCCCGAGAGAGAATATTCAATTGTTGACTTAGAGGTTCAAGTTGTACACCATTTGGTATTTTGCTAGTGAGACCTCAGTGTACTACTAGGCTCCATGTGGAGCAACCTGGTGACGTGGTCCTCTCCTTAAGACACATACATTCAGCTCTGAGGTGAGAGCRCAGGGGATTAAGTTCTCCAGGGGCGAGCATCAAGTCATCGCCTAATTTACTCATTGATGTCAAAGAAAAATGGCTCAGTGGCAAGTGCAGAGGAAATCTGTAGGTCCCCACCCGCTCCCAAGTAAGGCTCCATAACCTATTCCCAAACACTTGAATCAAACTGCTACTTGTTATTGGGTCAAGGATTTTGTTTTCAAGTTAGAAAACAKCGTCCGCACACTATTTCTTTTAACCACTCGACACATATTCTCTTAAGAGAGTCCCTGGTAATTGTCTTAATGGTAATTACATGCTTGGGGCAGTTGTCATCCACTGTTATTTTTCTGAAAGTGAGGAACAAGGGACAGGAGCAAGAGAGGAGGAGGGAGAGTTTTGAGATAATGAAATCCTTTTAATGACAGAGCCATGCCGTTAACCTAATTAAACTGTAAAGTGGTAAAAAAAAAAAAAAATCCAGGTACTAAATGGAAATGAAGAAATAAATCAGCTGAGACRGCAGCGCTTCTGGGAAACCTTCTGAATTCCGAACACTGTGACATTGCAGTGTCCGAGTCTCACATTGTACTCTGGCCCCCTTTAGCCTTGTACAGAGGTCTCTTAAACTGACCTGTCCAGTAGGACTTGATTTACGACGTCCATATCAGGGCTCCAGTTCCCCTGGGAATGCGGGTTATGCAGCTCATATATTTCAAAAGCCAGACCCGTGTGTAAGATATGGCCACAGAGCACTGGGTAGGATGGGAAGTCTGCACTTTTCTGGCTCTACTGCTAACCAGGTATGGGGTACCTGGGACGTTGTGGCTCAGATGCCCGAACCCATTTATGTACACCATCCCTGCCTTCTCTCTTAGAAGAATGGCCCTGAGACGATTAAAGTCACTTTGCCTTATAGGATCAAGAGCTGGAAGGCCTTGGGAACTTACCTCCCCTGGGGCAACCCTCAGCCATCAACTGGCTGATGCTGAGCTCGACAGCCCAGCATTCATTGCCACAACTCAGGGCAGACTCTGAGACACAACTTACACTCCAGAGTCCCCTGAGCTCAGGCTAAAATGATTCACAAGGTCATTGTCTGAAACTGTCTCCTTGGGTGGCTTCTTCCCCTTCCCCATCCTGCATCCTCCTCTTTTCTGTTTCTCTTGGAGCTTTTCTTTAATAGATGCTACAAATCTGCATGTAAGAAGCTGCTTCCGGGGAGTCTAACCTAAGAGATGAGCACTTTCCATACTTTGCRCCAGTCTCAGTTCCAAAATCTAAATGTCGGAGATGGCAACACCTGCCCTKATTAATGACGATAAGCCAGCAGTGATACTATTGGCAAAGTGATGGGATCCTCCAGGCAAAGCGACTTCAATTGTCTCACGGGAGTTTTTTTAAAAGAGAAGGCAGGGATGGGTGTACATAGGTTCATGAAGGGCTTCTTCCAAATTCCTTTTCATACTGCTGCCACCCGTGACAGAGTGGAAAGGGACATCATGATATGACAGAGGGCCCACCCATCTGTCACTGCTCTGCATCCCCACCCTACACTACCCAAGTGGCTGCACTCCACAGTCTCTATTTTGACCTCCATCACTATTTTCCATTCTGACCCAGCAACAATTAGCTAATCCTTTACACAAAGATAGAGATCTTACCCAATCAGCCCAAGGATTTCACTCTTGTTCCCATTGGGGAACCCCTGTAAAGAAAAGCACGAGGTTTATAGGTGAGAGAGATTTGGAATAACGGATAAGGAGAAAGTTTATCCATTATCCTTCTGTGGGACTTCAGAATCTCACATCAACTCCATCACTAAGTCACTCAAGTCTTGACTAGCTCACTTGACATCTCAATATGTTCATTTCATCGGTGGCAGAGCCATTAATATTTATAGACAGTTCACTGGATGCCTGGAATTATTCTAGGCGCTGACTTCCTCTTGAAAAAACAGGGGGAATTGTCTGATGCAGCCACAGCAGTGTGGTGAAGATTAATTAATATAAATAAGTAATTGCCTGAATAATGCAGGGCACTCAGACACCTCGCAAATGGATGCTGTGTAAATGTTMCACGGGATGAGTAATAATAGTAAAGGCTTGATGGACAAATTTCCAGTAAATTTAAAGTCTCTGTCAACCTGATAAGTGACTGAAAGTAAGCATTTTCTTGATGGTTCATAATGGATGCTTTTGTTTTTCCTGTGGCCTAGGCGGGGGAGAGAGACAGAGAAGTGAGCAACCTTAGCAGCAAGCTCCTGAGCCTGCAACTCGACATCAAGAACCTTCACGATGTCTGCAAGAGACACGGGAAGACCTTGCAAGAGAACCAGCTGTGCGTGGAGGAGGCCATGATGAACAGCAGCCACGTAAGGAATTGGGCAGCGGCTACCTGCCGCTGCTCCCTTGAGCAAGAACAGTAGAAAGTTCTTTCCTGAGTCATTTAARGCTACTTATTGAGCAAGCCATGAGGGACCATGACTCACACACAGAAGAGGCTGCTCCTGCCCTCGGGATTTTTCACTCTAGCTGTTTCCAAGATCATCTGCCTCTCAGATGTGCTGTCTTTCCCTTTTCTGGCCTTTCACACCTGACTTGGTAGCCCATTTCCCTGAAAATGCCGGATCACAGTGATCTAAGGAGAGTAGTATCTCCTGATGGATCTTAGACACATTTCTAATCAACCATGGAAGTAAAAGCCATTGCACCCACTCCGGGGTGTCACTCCTCATCAGTGCCATGGGTGCTTGTTACAGACGTGCTTGCCTCTTSACTGCCTTTGAGATGTCCTTCTGGAGGCCAGAACCCAGTCACAGGACAAGCTGAAGCGTTGAAGAGGAATGCCCCTAGGAGCAGAACCCAAGAAATGGCAAATCGGGAGACGGTTGATTAAATAACCTAGCCCCCTTCACCTGTGTCAGAGTTAACTCAAGACASGCTCCTAGCTCTCTCCCAGAATTCCTCATTGGGACCCACCCACAGTGGTAACTGGCTTGATGACACGCCCTCCCTGRCTCCAGAGTTTCCTACCGTCTCCTCCTACATAAACTACTAGGTTGACAGTCACTCAGTTCCTTGTTTCAGGGCCTGCTTTCTTTCAGAGGTACCCAAGCTGAAACACTCAGTACCACTTCTCCTGCCTGCGTGTGAATAGTTAGGCCCCCCGGCATACCATCTTTCTGGAGTGATTTTGAACTAATACTGATCTAGGGAATCCACCAGCTGAAGTGGTTTGTATTTCAGCCTGAGGTTCTTTCTCTTTGGAAACTATACACCTAAGGTCTTTAAACCACACTCTAAGCTGATCCACACAAACTGGGGAGCCCGCTGGGATGTGTTTTCTAAAAGCTGATTTCCAAGAATTTCTTACTTGCGGTCTTTATTTCCATTTAGTGACTTGAATTCTACACAAACATAAAGCAAGTACTGGTTGCACAGGTCTTTGCTGAACCCCCCAGGTGCTGTGTAAGCAACCACGGTGATCTGGTCTCTGTCATGATGTCTGTTAGAGTTCCCCCAGGACTTATCACCTCGCTATGGAAACCAAAAATTGTTCTCTGCAATGCCCAAAAATGCTACCAGCAAAGCAATCCTACCAAGCACTGCATCCTTTTCTCAGGAAGTCATGAATATAGAAAAATCTTTGGTTTCCCTAAATGGATCTCAGGAATAAGAAGATCATAATTTACTTCTTTCTAAATATTAACATTCTAGGATGTTTTCACTGTCCCGGGTTTTCATGGATTTACTTATTTCCCCCAGTCAGGGAAAGCCATGTGGCTTATAAATATACCTGGCAACTTGAAAGGAGAAAAGTATTAAATTGCATTTTATTATTCTAATTGCCCACAAGAAGGTCTAACAGCTTGAAACAAGCTTTAAAACAAGCTCTTTTTTTTTTCCTAGCACTTAGTGCAAAATTTAAATTGCAGACTATGCATACAAATACACAATTACTGTAGACCTATACTCATCTRCTCAGAAAATCCCTTTTAAAAATCTGCTTTCCACAAGGAGAAATATAATATGAAAGAGAACCATCTCTGTGTGGAGGAGGGCATGATGAACAGCAGCCACGGAAGGAATTTGGCAGCTGCTACCTACCCCTGTTCCCTTGACTACCCCAGGGCTAGAACAATAGAAAGTTCTTCCACTAGTCATTCAAGAGTACTTGTCAAGCCAGCAATGAGAGAAATAAACACACACACCCTAACAATGAAAATACCACTCCTACCTCAGGACTTTTCACTCTGGCTATTTTCAAGGTCATCTGCATCTGAGAGTGAAACCTAAGACTTTCTGGAGTTTTGCTAATATCTGAAAGTGGGGGTGGGGAGAAGCAGGAGGTCATGGTTCAGGACCACAGTTATGGGAGAAAAGCAAATTACATCCGATGTTACATGTAACAAAAGAAATGGAAGAGAGAAGGTGGATGATAGGAAACAAAATGATCTGACCTGATATATAAAGAATAATTCATTATGCTCTAAAACCAGAGCAAGCGAGGTGCCCCTGATGCARGATTTATGGGCACTGACTCTTCGGTGCAACCTGCTCTTGCTTGACCCTGAGACTGAGCGCCTCCTTAAAATCTGCACCTTGCTTCCCTCACTCCAGTMCTGGCCCTGTCCAGAAGCCAAAAGAAAGCCTCAAAACAAAAGGAGAAAAGAACAAGAGAGGAATCATAATAAAATAAAGATCAAATCAGGAATAGAAGGGTCCTGTTGAATAATTTTCCCAGGCCCCATTCCCTGGCAAAAGCATGGGTAGTGTATCCTGACATTCAGTTGAGCTTAGATTGTCAGGCTAAGCTGTGAGGTATGTGGAAGGCATTATTTTTAGGATAAAAACTGCATATGCAAATTTTATTCCTGTAGATGAGAGTCATTAGTTGGACATGTAAAGATTAGTAGAGTCCTGATGGACATTATCACACAGTATCATTTTGGATAATTTTTCCATAATTTTTCTTGGTGCATGATGGTTGTACATAATGATGGGATTTGTTGTCACATATTTGTATGTGACAAAATATAATTTGGCACAAAATATAATATATAATTTGACCAATCACAATCCCCAGTATTTCTCTCTTTCCTCCTCCATTCCCTGGTCCTTTCCTCTCCTCTACTGATCTCTCCCTTCAATTTTCATGGGATCTCCACCCCCGACACTTTTTCTTTTCCTTTTTCCTCTCCAGTTTCCACATAGAAGAGGAAACTTGACTTTCTGAGTTTGGCTTATTTCACTTAACATAATGCTCTCAAGTTCCATCCATTTTTCTGCAAATGACATAATTCCATTCTTCTTTATGACTGAATAAAACTCCACTGTGTATATATACACCACATTTTCCCTTTTCCATTTATTCATGGAAGGACACCTAGACTGGTTCCATAGTTTGTCTACACAATAYCATTTTGAATCATTGATAATGAAAAAAGAATTTTTAAGTGAATCTGCTAAATGTAATATGGGATCCTAGATTGAATGATCCTAGAACAGAAAAAAAAATTACATTAGTGAAAAAATCTGACAAAATTTCTCTAGTTTCATTCATAATCATGTAACAACATTAATTTCTTAGTTTGGACAAATGTACCACATTATGTGAGAATAACTTAACATTAGGAGAAGCTGGATGTAGACTCTATAGGAACTCTCTTTGCTACTTTTGAAATTTTTCCATAACTTGAAAATCCTTCTGAAAGACTGTATGTTTTTAAAGTGAATCTCGGAGATCATTCGTGAGAAGAATGTCAAAGCCACAGATGGATGCAAAAGAAATGCAGGTCCGTTAAGCATGCAGTTCTATATGCTGCCAACACACGAAAAAATACAAGGAATATAATTTAGGGAAAACCTAAGAAGAGATCTACCTTCTTCAGTGATTTAAGACTAACCTACAATCCAAGAAAATATCTCACCTAACGCCTCAAAGATAGGAAAATAAGTTTATAACAATGACTGGAAAAGGATAGGGAGACATGCAGCTCTTAAATTCAGTTCTGAGACCCAGTCATCAGAACAACGCCAACTTGTGACAGAAAAGGACGAAAACTAGAGTAGGGAATAAAAGGGTTAAAAAGTATTTTGAAAAGCCGGCTTTAGGCAAATCAGCAGGGTCTGATGACATTCTTCCAAGAGTACTTAAGGAATTGGCAGGTGTTATTACATAGCTGCTAGTGATTATTTTTGAGAACTCAAGAGGATAAAGAAAGTCCCTGTAGACTGAAAAAGGGTAAATGAAGTGCTCATCTTTTTAAAAAAGGGAAAAAGGACAATCCCGGTAATTATAGACCTGTCAGCTTAACTTCAATATCAGGGAAAATATAGAACTTAACATCAATCAATTAGCATCAACTTGAAAAGCACAAAGTATTGGGTGGAAACCAACGTGACTTTTCAAAAGGCAAATCATGCCAGGCCAATTAATTTCCTTCTGTGATCAAGTGGCCACATAGGCAAGGAAGGAGCAATAGCTATAATCTCTTTGACCACAAGTAGGGCTGAAAGGTTGATTAAATATGGGAACAAGTTCCTTGGGTGGCCCTCGTGCTCCATCTTTTCAAGCAGCTGATGCCAGGTAGAAATCTAGCTGAGAGACCTGATAGACCAGATGGCCCCCAGAATCATCTACCTCTGGACGGTCACCTTAAGAATTAATCTTACTTCCATAAAATCATTTCTAACTTGTTCCTTTTCTCCAGATCTCAGTTTAGAAGCCAAAGAAGAATGTAAAAAACAAAAAAAAAAAAAAAAACTTTTCAAAAGAAAGGAAAGGTTTTGGTACCTTTATGCAACTGTTCTGTTATTTAGCACAGATATGAGTGAAATGTCAATTTCATAGCATGTGGCATGGATTCATAGCATATCATTTTCTATTCACTTAGAATTAATAAAAATAAACTTTTGAATATGTCAGGATAAATAAGTGGAAATGTTGCAAGTCTTAAGTCAGTTTAGGCATTTTTTTTCCAAGTCTTGCAAATTTCATTTCTCCAAACCCATAGTTTTGTGGAGTACATGAATATTTACGTTTTCCATCCAGCAAAACTCCAATTTCTCTGTAGATATAAGCAATTTGGGGAACTTTATAATTAGTTCTGCTGCTGGAAATGTTGAGAGATCTCCCATCATCTGGCTGGTCCATCATGTTACCCCAGACCAAAATTAAATCCAGAAGGCTCCACATAACCTTTAGGAAGAGATATTATTAGTGGTTCGTCAGCATCACTGCCAGACTGGGGAGCTCTCTACACCCCATTCAGGAAAGACACTCTTTACCCACAGGAACCTTTAAAGCAATTCTGAGCACATCTAAGTATGGATGACATACCGGATACTAGGAACAGAAACCCTGAAGAAAGTTTGACTTCTTTTAAACAAATAGTGTTTCTCTCATTCTRTTGGGTAATGAAGAGAAAGTGGGCACATGGAAAGAAGGAGAGGCAAAGAAAGAAGGTATTCTCATGTGTACATGAGGAGACCACAGTTGAGTTTCATCTAGGTCATATACATCCCGTGGGGGAAGGGAATTCCGGATCAGAGGTTACACRTGAGCACTAGAAGCACCAGGAATCCAGTTTCTTAACCTTCAAGAGACCAGTTCACATTAAGTGAAGCCAAGAGAAGAAAATTTGGGCAAAAAATAATAAAGATTTTTGCCAGGTGTGGTAGCACATGCCTGTAATCCCAGCAGTTCAGGAGGCTAAGGAAGGGGGATCTCAAGTTCAAAGCCAGCCTCAGCAACTTCACGAGGCCCTAAGCAAATGAGACTCTGCCTCAAAATAAAACACAAAAAGGGTTCAGGATATAACTCAGTGGTAAAATGTCCCTGGGTTTAATCCCCAAAACCCCCACAAAAAAATTAATCCGTAGTAGTAGTAGTAGTAGTAGTAGTAGTAGTAGTAAGCACTTCATCACTGAGCTACATTACCAACCCTTTTTAATTTTTATTTTGAAACAGGGTCTCACTAAATTGCCCAGGCTGGGCTCCAGCTTGTGATCCTCCTGCCTCAGCCTCCTGAGCTGCTGGGATTATAGGCTCCCAACAATGATAAGGATTTTATTGAATATTTGCTTCAATAAGACACACTGTTCTGAATGAACCCCATCCCAGGGTGTTTACGCCTTTGCTTAGTTACGTCCACAGTGAGTGCTTACTTGTGATCATGTGTTTTTCCAAGTAGCTCCTCAGGCCCCTGGCAGCTGTTCTATAGCTACCTGTGTGTAGACAGGGAGATCTGGGCTCTTGAGGCCCTCCCTACACACACACACACACACACACACACACACACACACACACATTCTCTTTCTCTCTTACTACTTCCAAGTCCCTTCTCTCTAAACCTCAACCAGAAATGAGTTGTTAGAATAGCAGCATTCTTTCTTTTCTTTTTTTTTCTTTTTTATTGATTTTTTTAAAAAATAAATGACAGAAGAATGCATTATAATTCTTATKACACCTATACAGCACAATTTTTCATATCTCTGGTTGTATATAAAGTATGTTGACACCCAATTCATGTCTTCATACATGTACTTCGGATAATAATGTCCATCACATTMCACCATCCTTGCTAACCCCCTGCCCCTCCCTTCCCCTCCTACCCCTCTGCCCTATCTAGAGTTTGTCTATTCCTCCCATGCTCCCCCTCCCTACCCACTATGAGTCAGTCACCTTATATCAGAGAAAACATTCAGCATTTTTTTTGGGGGGGGATTGGCTAACTTCACTTAGTATTATCTTCTCCAATGCCATCCATTTACCTGCAAATGCCATGATTGTATTCTCTTTTATTGCTGAGCAATATTTCATTATGTATATATGMTACATTATTTTACCCATTCATCTACTGAAGGGCATCTACTACAACCACATTGGTCTGCACCGCCATCTTGTCTTGCCTTTAGTAGCCTCCTATCCAGTATCCCTGCTTCTGTCTTTGCMAGAGAAAATGGAGTTCATCTTCAGTGGATTTTCAATAGAACAACCAGTGCGTCCTTTGTAAAATCTGAGGGAGATCAGGTCCGTCCCTGCTCACTATCCTGCAGTGGCCTTTCATCTACATGAGTCTTTGGAGTCTTTACAATGGTCCATAAGACCCTGAAGGACCTCACCTCCTTTGTCTTTCTCCCTTCATCTGGTCCCTCTTGTCCCCTTTACTTTCTCTACTCCAAGAAGAACAGAGTGGCTAGCACCCCCCCCCCCGGGGATCCTCAAATGCCACCAGGCACATTCCCACTTTCTTGTCTTTGTACTTGCTATTCTCTCTCTCTCTCTCTCTGGAGTATTCCTGTGACAGATTTCTACCAGGCTCCATCTCCTGCCTCTTGCAAGTTTTGGCTCAAATATCACCTTCTCAACGTAGTCCTCCATAAAAATGGTACCAACTCCTCCCTCCTGACAGTCCTCATCTTTCTCCCTGCTTTACTCTGCTCTATGGCACTTTTTCCTCCTAATATACTCCATAATTTACTGGTTTATCTTGTTTCTCTTCCTATTACATGCGAACTCCATGAAGGCAGGTATCTTGTCTGTTTCAAAGACTGCTTTATCTCCATTACTTAGTACAGTACTTGATATAGTAAATGTACCACAATATACTTAATTAAATTTTAAAAATTAATTAAATTAAAAACATTATATCCCACAGAGGCTAGTATGTTTATGTTCATAGTGGCATTATTCGCAATAGCTAAAACTGAAACAATTCAGATACCCACCAATGGGTGGATATTTTTATCCACCATGAAAAGGAACTAAATACTGATTCTTGCTGCAAACTGGATGAGCCTCAAAAACTTATACCAAGTGAAAGAAACCGGATACAAAACATGAGGTRTTATACAATTCCATGTATGAAACACCTAGAAAAGGCAAATCCATAGATGCAGAAAGCACATCAGTGGCTGCCTAGAGGTGGGGGTAGAGACAGTAGTGACCACAAATGGGCAGGAGAGAATTTTAGGGATGATGGAAATGTTCTAAAACTAGAATTGTAATGATARCTGAATAACTCTATAAATTGATGACAAATCATTGAACTGTATTTCTTAACAATGATGGACTATTATGATTAACTTGTCATAAAATGATGTTATGTGATGGTTACAGGGTGAGTCTAGTAGCATTTCAGGTAGGTTGTGGATTGGCAGAKGGAAATCACTCCACACCACATGCACACTCAGTTTCTCCAAGGTCACACCTGCCTTCAGGAGGTAGAGACAGAGGCAGTGCCTACATGAGGACAATATCTCCCTCTCTCTGCACCCCATTCTCCAGTATTCCAGAACCCCTAAGAACTTACCCTTGACTCCTTTCAGTATTCCTTTACCCAGGTATTCCAACTTTGGTCCAAGAACCATGACCCAAAAATCCATTTTCTTCCAAGTCAATTATCTTGTCTTGATATGTGAGGTCAAAACATTAGCATGTTTATTACATATCTAGATCCTTTACATATTTGTGTTTTTTCTTGACCTCACAAGAAGCTTTCTGACAGGTAAGAACCATCTCTTGGTTCTTTCTTTTGAATCCTTCTTACAGAGTGGGAATACGRAATGCCATATCTCCCTGTGAACAGAAGGAAATGTTTAAAGATGAAAGGGTAGATAGGTGTATGTGAACAATTAAACAGATGAAAAAACCTGCATCCTTAGTGACAAGCTAAAGCCTTTTCTCTCCGTACGGCAGAAGAAGCAGCAAGCCCAGGCTTTAGCATTCGAGGACTCCCTGATGGAGTTTGGGTCAGCGAAAGAGTGTCATCTGAGGCAGCTCCAGCAACTGAAGAAAAAATTGCTGGCCCTTCAGCGAGAACTAGAGTTTCGCACCGATGAATTACAGACTTCCTACTGCTCCCTCCTGCAGTACCAGTCCATCTTGGAGAAGCAGACATCTGACCTGGTTATACTGCACCATCACTGCAAGCTGAAAGAAGATGAGGTACAGTGAGCTTAACTATGGAGATGCAGGAATCAGGCCACCCCTGCTAGAAAGCAAACACGGGGCTTACAGCGGGGAGCTTTGCAACATCTCAGGCAGGTTTTACAAACTTTCCCTCTTTAATTCTTGATCTTTCTGAAGCTGGGCAGAAGGAAACTAAACAGGGTGGCACAAGTACATGAGAKCTCCAGGGCTAACACATGTGGGTCTGTGGGATGCAAGCATGCATGGCGCATCTGTTGGTGAGTGAGCCCATCTTCTTCATTCCATGACCATCACAATTTAAATGCAAAAAGAGTCTAGGTAGCCAAGGGCTATTAAAGAAAAATAAAGATATGAGACCCATAATATCAACTATTTTTAGAAAAAATCAGGTTCTGATGATTATTAGTTCCTGGCGCCTACAAGTTGATAAGATAACCAGACACTGGGTCTGATTCCATCATTGAAAGTGCCAGATCATTTTGGGGGGACTGGAGTTTTAGATCCTATAAATTCAGCTTAAGTATATTCTGGACATTCATTTATATTCATGTTCCAGGGCAATACCTTTCCAACCAAAGAATAGCATCCCTGTAGAATCCCAAGACTCAATTCAAAAGCAGCAAAACTAAAGCCAGTAGCACTAACAGCAATAGAATCATGGTTTTGTGTAATGGACGGGCAAACTCTGATATCTGGGGGTTTCCCCTTGGCATTTTCTTCCTCCAGATCCAAAGAAAATCCCAATGAGTGTTTTAGATGGTGTTGTTGCTTAAGGACCATCTCCAGGGGTTTGTGAGGGACCTTGGAGATACAGATTTTTTTTAAAGGGATTACTGTGAGAATTTGCTGAAAAGAATTGAGAAGGGAAGGACAAAGAAGAGTTATTCTACAACATACAATTTGGGACAAAGACTGTGAGCATAAACCATGGTTTCATAAAGCTAAATTGGAACTGTGTTAAAATTGGCTGGTTCCACCAAAGAGTCCAGGTTTTGCCATCACATCTGCTCGTAGCTTCCATTGTGTAGGTCACCTGCAGGGGTTGGTGGAGTTCCAACCATCACATCCCTGTTCCACATAATCGAGAGGAACGGGAGGATGGAAAGAAAGGCACACTCCTTTTTAAGGACACTTTCCAGAAACCCTGCACAACACTTTCATTCATGTATCATTGGCCAGAATTAGTCACATGGCTATAGCTAGTTCTTGGGAAGCCTGGGAAAAGTGGAGCTTTTAGAGGGGTATTGCTGCACCAATGAAGTCAAGGTTCTGCTACTAAAGAGGAGGAGGAAAGGGTAGATACGGGATTTGGCAAGTAATGGACACAGCCGCAGAGCCCACACTGAGAAAGTATTGGAAAAAAACTTTTTTTTTTGGTACCCAGGATTGAACTGAGGGTCACTCGACCACTGAGCCACATCCCCAGCCCTATTTTGTATGTTATTTAGAAACAAGGTCTSACTGAGTTGCTAAGTGCCTCGCCATTGCTGAGACTAGCTTTGARCTCGCAATTCTCCTGTCTCAGCCTCCTGAGCCATGGGGATTATACAGGCATGCACCACCATGCCTGGCTTAGTATTGGAAAATTTATTTGAGGTGTTCTGCCAAGTTCCCCCAGTGCTTTGTTACACAGAAGCATCAGACTGCTGCCTAGGGTTGGGTTCSGCCAACAGTTGAACCCTAAGACAGGATATAAATACATGTATGTAGTTAGTTCAGGAGGTAGTTCCAGGAGGCACATAGAGGGGCAAGTTAAATAAGTCCAGGAAGGCCATGAGTTTAATGAGCTTACATTTATGGAATGTGTTCTATCAGCACTGGACTATTGGAACCAATATGAAGTCTTCCATGATGATTCYTCTTCTCTTCACTCCTTGAAGACATGTAGTTCCAACCATACAATTTAGCACACTCAACTGTATACAGTTGTTTGCTAATTTTAAATTCTATCCCCCCAAGGTTATGAGAGTTTTTAACTCTTTGAGAAATGAGTCTCTCTCACATGCATATATCCCCTCTGCACCTAAGTAGAGCTTATGAGCATTCAATAAATATCTGTCAGATGGATGATTAATTGATTGATTGAGAAGAAAAGGAATCTAAATCAGGATCATGAAAATCTCAGGGGATCTTTGGTTTGTGCTTCCCCACCATCTCTTGGGAACTTTATTGTTGTGGTCCAGCATACATGAGGGACTCTACATTTTCCAAATTAGATCTCTAGAGAATTCCTAGGGGGGAAAAAAAACACTGGCATTTCAAGCTCTTTAAAAAAAAAATGGAGCAGTACAAATCCATTCCTGCTCATCAACAAGTATTTATTGTGTTCTTACCACATGCCAGCCAKAGGGGGCAATAGGCATGGTCCCTGGTTCTGTTTCTAATCATCCCCATCCTGATGTCACACATGGCTTTTAGATCTGCAGTGCACCTATTCCCTTCATCCGGGTTTCCAGTTTAGACTTGGGAATGCTTTGCCTAGGGTCTGACAACCGTGCCCTTTACTGGTTAGATGCTTCACGGGTTCTGTGTGGTTTTGTTCCTCCACCAACAGGTGATTCTCTATGAGGAGGAAATGGGAAATCATGAGAACGCAGGGGAGAAGCTCCATTTGGCACAGGAGCAGCTTGCCTTGGCCGGGGACAAGATCATCTCCCTAGAAAGGAGCCTGAACCTCTACAGGGATAAATACCAGACTTCCCTGAGCAACATCGAGTTGCTGGAGTGCCAAGTGAAGATGCTGGAAGGCGAGCTCAGCGGGCTCATCAGTCAGGTAGGATGCACACCAGGCTCCTCAGCCCAGCAAGCAGATCGGCCCCCGCATGGTTCCCTTCAATGGTCCTTCACCAGAAATCCAAACCCTCAACCAGGGGTCAGCTCCTGCCCTTGAATTTTGCAGCCTTCAGCTTTTTAATTTCCAGGTTGCATGTTTTCTTTAAGGTTACTCCTTAGCTCTTTTGGGGTTCCCTGATGACTATCAAGAGCCACCACTTCCATGTCCTCGTGGAGGTCTGGTAGTGAGCTCTTCCAGGTCCCAGGACTCCTGCCACCATGACTTCAGGACCAAACAGGAGAAGGCCAGGAAATGTAAGGAGGAAGAACCAAAGGGCCTGGCTTGTTTCTTTTCTCATTATTTTTTTAAATTTCACAAGTAACGGTGTAGACTCTCTAGACCAAAGTATGGAGGTTAAATGTGAAAGTCTGCCGTCAGCCTGCCTTGCCCTTCTGTCACTGCACTGGGAACCCCAGGGCTTCCGTGATGTAGTTACATATATAAGTGGCCAGGGCTCTCTTTTTACATAAAYGGGCATTATACATGTGATTTCATAACTAGCTTTTAAAATGCATATCTTAACAGTTTTCATCACTACTTGTATCCTCTAGATGTACCATCTATTGACTTTTTTATTTTCTGTTACAAACAAGTTGTAATAAACATCCTTATTTCTGCAGGGTAAATTCCGAAGCATGGTTGCTGGGTCACGGGATATGCTTATTTTTAATGTTTATAAAATACTTACAAATTATATACCAAAAAGATGTTACCAGTTTATGCTTTTGTCAACAATAACTAAAAGACTTTTTTTTCCCCTCCACACCTTCTCACACTGTTTTCAGTCTTTTGAAGTTGTGCTAAACTAAGGAGTGGAGYGGTGGAGGGGGGAGTTTTCTTATTATTTATTAGATAATTTTCATTTCATTAGTTCTAATAGTCACAGAGGAGACTCCAAGACAGATGAGCATGCAGGACATTTAGGGACAGCTGGTGTTATGAACCCCCATGAGAGGAAGGGGAAGGAAGAGAGATGGCCAGAGAAGTCKGCTGTGTTATCTCAACAAAGGCTCAGCCGACCCCATGGTGGGGTGGGACTGGATGCAACTCCAGAGCAGTCTTAAGCTCAGCAAAAGGGACCTGGCCTTTGTACCTCTGTGTTGATCGATTATTGGATGTGGGCTGCCCCTGGGAGAGGTGTGACTGAAGGGCAAACGGTTTTCCTCTGCCCAGGCAATCCCCAGAAAGGGCTGATTCCTGGCAGCAGCCCTTGGCAGCTGCTGGGCCAGCAAGTTCTTCACTGCCAAAGGGAGTCTGGGAGACACATCGGTCACCTCCACATGTGAGGGTGTATTGACCACTGCTCATATGGGTCATAGGGAGTTTTGTTTTACAAATAATTTGTTTTCATCCCTAACCCATGTTTTACTGGATTGTTAGTCTTTTGGGGGTTGATTTATAGGGACTTACAGGTAATAATGCTTTATCACGGATGCTGCAAATATTTTTTTCAGTGATCTGTAACTTTTCATTTAACTTTGTGAGTAGAACTTTTCACCATACAGAAGTTTTATAATTTTTGTAGAGTTGAATCTGTCAGTCCTTCTTTATAGATCCTAGGTTTTCTTCTCTACTCCCAAGATTATGAAAGTCTATCTCATATTTTCTTTTAGCACTTTTATAAGTTTTGCATTTTTATGTTTTTTATCCTTAGTCCACCTGGAATATATATATCATATATATATATCATTATATATAATTAAATGTCTCTGATTTTTATTTATCTAAGTGGATCTCTAATGGCCCCCACACCATTAGCTGAACATCCCAACTTTTCCCACTGATTTGGGTACCAATTCATAATAATGATTCTTCCATACACAGAGCTCTTTCTGGGTACCATTCTTTTGCTCTTACTTTCCAATTCTTACAGGTGTCAGAGTTTTTTTAGTGACTTTAACCAATAACATGTTTTATAGCTCCTTTTAGAGCCAGTCCTCATTCATTATTCTATATTTCAAATTTTTCTTAACCTTTTGTACATCTCTCCAGGATGAAATTTGGACTTTCATTGACTGAGTTTCACGTTATATATTAATTTAGGGGAAATTAGCATGCCCTCGGAATGTGACATATTTGTTCTTTTATTCTGATTTTCCGTTGTACCCTTTCACTAAGATTGTATACTTTTCTTTATAGATCTCACATACTTCTTGCTAAGTTTATTCCTAGATATGTTATAGTTGCCATTAGTTTTATGAGTAAGAACTTTTATATATTTAATCTTAAGAATTACTACTGAGGTGTAGGAAACCTCTCTCAGCCTGCCACCCTACTGAGTTCTCTTATGGGGTTTTTAGTTGAACATCATGGATTTTTCCAAATTGATTTTACTTTCTAAGTTTACACAACTTATTTTCTATCTCACTGCACCAACTAGAACTTCCAGAACAATGTAGAACACAGTATCTTTGTTTTGCTCYTTACTTTATTAATTTTTTTATTTTTTCCTATTAATTTTTTTTAGTTGTAGTTGGACACAATGCCTAACTTTTTATTTATTTACTTTATTTATTTATTTTATTTATTTAAGTGGTGCTGAGGATCGAAACCAGCGCCTCGCACGTTCTAGGCAAGCACTTTACCACTGAGCCACAGCCTCAGCCCTTGCCTCCTTACTTTAAAGGAAATGTTCCTAGTATTTCACTATTAAGCATAATATTAATATTAAGCATAATGCCTGTTGTGGCTTCTTGTTTAATGTTCTTTTTCAGATTAAAAGTATGACTATATCTAGCTTATAAGAATGTTTATCAGAAATGAATGTTGAATTTTACCAGATGTTTTATGAGCATCTATCCTTTAATGAAGGAAATCAGATTGATAGATTTTCAAGTACAAAATAATCTATGTCCCTGAAATAAATTCTACTCATGATGTGTTATTTTAATAAACTGCTTTACTTACAATTAAATACRTTAAATTTGGGCGTAGTGGTGCACACCTGTAATCCCAGTGGCTCGGGAAACTGATGCAGGAGGATCATGAGTTCAAAGCCAGCCTCAGCAACTTAGCTAGGCCCTAAGCAACTCAGCAAGACTGGATGTGTCTTKCGGTGGTGTCTGGATGTGGCTCAGTGGTTAAGTACCCCTGAGTTCAATAGCCAGTTCAAAAAAAAAAAAGTGTCAAATTTTTATTTTCTGCATTTATTTTTAGAAATAGGATTATTTTTTGGCTTACATTTTGTGCTCTTATCTCATATGATGTCTGAATTTTGCTATCCTAATATGAATTGAAAAGCTTTTCACCTATATTTAAAATCTCTGGAGCTGTTCCTATAACATACAAAATGTCTACTTCTTTAAAGGTCACAAATAAACCCAAATTTTACACATTATTGTGCTCAGCAGTGTACTATCCTTCAGTGTACCTTTCCTTTTGCTGTAATAATTTCTTCTTAATTCTTTCAGAAACAATCGTGAGTAGAAATTTTTCTCCATACTTTCATGTCTGGATGAGGTTTGTTTTGACATCGTTCCTGAAGGCTAGTTTGGCTGGATAGATAAACTTTCAAAAGCACCTTCCCCTAAGTCTTTGAAGACAGTGCTGCATGGTCTCCCACCACCCAGTACTGAAGATCAGTTTGGGGATGTCATTCTGCTGTCTGTAGGTCATCTGTTTTATCTCTTTGAACTCGAGAGGTTTTTAGGCGAAGGATGTTTTATCTTTCATTAAGYCCCTCAAAATACTTAACTGACTTTTAATCTGAAGWTCTACACTTTTCTTTGATTCAGAGAATTTTTCTTCTATTACTTTTAAAATCAATTTCCATTTTCCTTCCCAAAGTATTAAAAAGATATTAAAACCTATGGATATCTTCTTCCTGTTCTTTAACTTTTCTGTTATGTTTTTTGATGTCTTTGCCCTCTTAGACACTAAATTATTTACACAAATGTCATTTGTGGTTAATTTTAGATTTCTGAATGGCTTTTCTGCAGCTTGCTCATGTGCAGCTTTCACGCTCAATGAACATGAACTATTTCTAACTTGGCCTGAAAGGCTCAGGTAGAGGCAGGTTTAATGGGAAATGAACCTACCATGCAAACTAGAACTCTTTGCTCTTTTTTTTTCCTTTGTGCATTAGTTCACCCCATTATCAGTGCAGAAAACTAGGAAGGTAGTGACCTTCATGCATGATTTCAGATGATCTAGGATAGATATTTTTAAAACAAAAAAATACAGCTCTGGGAAAGAAAACAAATTAATGGGTATCTACTATTACAGTTTCTTTTAAAGGACAATTGTTCAACATCTAAGTTTTAAATATGAACTAGCAGCTCCTACATCTATGGATTTAATCTACACATTTACCAAAATAAGTACTCAAAGATTTATGGACAAAAGTAACCACTTCGGTTTCATATTAGAAATAACCTATATTGCCATCAGTAAGACACTGGATAAATACGTAGAAAAGCAATTTAAGGGGCTGGAGTTGTGGCTCAGCAGTAGAGTGCTCACCTAGCATGTACAAGGAAGGCCCTGGGTTCGACCCTCAGCACCACATAAAAATAAATAAATAAAATAAAGATGTTGTGTCCAACTACAACTAAAAAAATAAATATTTAAAAAAAAAAAAAAAACAATTTTTAGGGCCTGGAGTTTGGGCTCAGTGGTTAAGTGTTTGCCTTGCATGGGTGAGGCACTGGGTTCAATCCTCAGCACCATATWAATTAATTRATTAATTAATTAAAGATATTGTRTCCATGTACAACTAAAAAAAAATATTTTTAAAAAAAGCAATTTTTTTAAAAGACATTAGAGAAGCACTAGGACCAACTTGGGTAAATCCCTAAGATATCTTGTAAAGTTAAGAAATCCACTTTGTGCTTTACAAAGCCAACATAATCCATATTCTATAGATTCTTTTATAGTAGGTAAATATATAAATAAATTCTGGATGGATACGCACAGTTTGTCATCTCTGGAAAGTCGAGAGAGATAGGAGAAAAGATGTAATGGTCAAAGAAATTTAGTCTTTACGGTAGAGTGTTTTAGAAAGATAACATAGACGTGGTTACTTGTTTGATTTAGAATTAATTTTAAAAGTATTATTAGACGGATCCACAAATACTGATGTGAAAAACACAAAGTTTGGAATAGTATGTAGAAAACTCTTTTGTGTAAGGAAACGAGTGGGGTTACATAGATACACACCTGTGTGTGCACAAATATCATAGAGCATCCTTGGAAGGGCACCCAGAAGCCTGGTGACACAGACAGTCACCAAGGACAGGACCTGAGTCYCAGAGGGCTCACATTTTCCTATAACTAGATGGACTTTGGGCCCTGTGTCTGCACTAGTGACTGTTTTTTTTTTTTCTTTTATTGGGGAAACCATGCTTCCCATATATGAACATATGCTTTTCCATGCTGGTGGAATTCGGAAGTTAACTCACAAATTACGAACAAAACTAACTCATGGTTTTTAAATATCCCAGGAGCCTGAGAACAAGGGTGACCACTCAAAGGTGCGTCTATACCCTTCTCCCTGCATGATTCAAGAGCACCAGGAGACCATGAAGCGACTGTCTGAAGTCTGGCAGAAGGTCTCTGAGCAGGATGATCTAATCCAGGAGCTTCGAAATAAACTGGCCTGCAGTAATGCTTTGGTAAGCTCCTCGTTCTAGAACATTTTTCTGAGAGACCCATATTGAAACTATGAGGAAAGAGAGGAGGGAAAGAGTCACCTAAATTAATCTCTTTCATTCGGAATYCTCAAATGTCACAGATAAGRGCTGGGGYTGKGGCTCAGYGGTAGAGCACTTACCTAGCACAAGTGAGGCCCTGGGTTGGATCCTCAGCACCACATAGAAATAAATTAAATAAAGGTATTGGTTCAAATACAACTAAAAAGTAAATATTTTTAAGCAATGTCACATATACTTGCCCTCACCCTTTGTTCATATTCTCTGTGACATGCTATTAGGGAGCTATTTTTGTATAAAGTTGGAGATTCTAAAGAGACTCAAAATTTCTCACACAGCAACCTAAGTACCCATCAGTAGGTAAATGGTTGAAGAGATTAAGAGAAATGTTCAAAGATGCCAGGCACATGGCACGTGCCTATAATCCCAGCGGCTTGGGAGGCTGAGGAAGGAAGATAGCGAGTTCAAAGCCAGCCTCAGCAAACATGAAGCACTAAGGAACTCAGCAAGACCCTGTCTCTAAATAAAATACAAAATAGGGCTGGGAATGTGGCTCAGTGGTCAAGTGCCCCTAAATTCAATCCCCAGTACCAAAAAAGAAAGAAAGAAATGCTGAAAGAGTTATGCTTATTATGCAGGTGGTAAAAACGATGAAGCAGATCTTTGTGATACATGGTTGAGAATAAGTTACAGAATCCTGTTTCTTTAAATCTCTTTATCATAATGCAAAATATACTCCCTTTGTAGAAATGAGAGAGGGTAGAGAAAATAATGCTGAGATTTTCACATTTTCTCAAGGTTTGGGTTTTGTTTGAATTCTTTTCAACAACTTCAAAAAATCATGGCAATGAGACAAAAATTTCATGTTTTTTTTTTTTCAAAAAGAAAAAACAGGGCTGGGGTTGTAGCTCAGTGGTAGAACACTTGTCTGGTGCACTTGTGGCACTGGGTTCGATCCTCAGCACCACATAAAGATAAATAAACATAAAAAATATTGTGTCCATCTATAACTAAAAAAAATTTTTTTAAAGAAAGTACACACACCTTCATCCACCCCATAAGGAACCTCCTTCCTTAATTCTCAAACTCTGAACCTACCTTGTCCTCTGATCAAATAGACACAAGTCTCCACTGTGGCCTCCAAGATTTGTCTTCTGACTCATAAAGTGGACCCCACAAGAAGTTCAGGATGGAGTTCCAAAATGTGGCTGCCCAAGCACTTGATGCAACTTGCTCTCTGTGCCTAGATAACCTTGATAAAAGATTGAGAGCATAATTTCTTCTCCTGCCCACCCCACAGGACATGCACAATAAATCACAGAGCAATGCAACACACTTAGGCTGCAGAAAGGAACACCCTGCAAAAACAGCAACGATATAAAACGTGGTGAGGGCTGGAGCTGGGGCTCAGCGGGAGAGCACTCGCCTCGCACATGCGAGACCCTGGGTTCGATCCTCAGCACCACATCAAAATAAATAAGTGAAATAAAGGTATTRTGTCCAGATAAAAATAATTATTTTTTAAAAAGACTGTGGTGAAGATTTGGGCCTACTTTTTCTTCTATTAGGCATAGGGTCTCTATTCTATTRCCTAAGTCTTTGATCYGCTTTGAGTTGATTTTTGTATGGGCTTAGAGACAGAGGTTTAATTTCATTTTGCAACCTATGGATTTCCAGTTTTTCCAGCACCATTATAGCAGCTCAATTCACAATAGCTRTCTTTTCTCCAGTGAATGTTTTTGGTACTCTTGTCTAGTATGAGATAACCATATTGATGTGAGTTTGTCTCTGTGTCCTCTATTCTACAGCATTCTAAAAGTGTTCTAAAAAGTGTTCAACCTCTCTAGCAATTAGAGAAATGCAAATAAAAACTATTCTAAGATTTCATCTCACTCCTGTCAGAATGGCAATCATCAAGAATATAGGCAACAATAAATTGTTGGTGAGGGTGTGGGGGAAAAGGCACACTCATACACTGCTGGTGGGCCTGCAAATTGGTGCAACCACTATGGAAAGCAGGATGGAGATTCCTCTGAAAACTGGGAATGGAACCACCATTTGACCCAGCTCTCCCACTCCTTGTTTTATACCCAAAGGACTTAAAATCAGCATATTTCAGTAATGCAGCCACGTCAATGTTTATAGCAGTTCAATTCACAGTAGCTAAACTATGGAACCAACCTAGGTGTCCCTCAATAGATGAATGAATAAACAAAATGTGGTCTATCTACTCAATGGAATATTACTCAGTTTTAAAGAAGAGTGAAATTATGGCATTTGCCAGTAAATAGTTGGAGTTGGAGAATATCATGCTAAATGAAATAAGCCAATCCCATAAAACCAAAAGCCAAATGTTTTCTCTAATATGCGGATGCTAATTCACAATAAGGTGGGGGGCACTAGGGAAGACTAGMATTACCTTAGATTAGTTAGAGGAAAGTGATGGGAGGAGAGGGGAGGAGACATGGGGATAGAAAAGATAGTAGAATAAAACAGACATTATTACTATATGTGTGTGTGTGTGTGTGTGTATATAGATAGAGAGAGAGATAGATATAGATATATAGATATCTGCATGACCAAAATAATTCTGCAACAGGTACACTCAGAAAAATGATAAATTACATCCCATCTATATATGATATATCAAAGTGCATAAATGAATTCTACTGTCATATATAACTAATTAAAACAAATTTTAAAAAWTTTTTTTAAAAGATGTGGCATCGATCATTCACCCTGACTTGTTCTCGTTTGCAGGTTCTGGAGCGTGAAGAGGCTTTGATAAAATTACAAGCAGACTTTGCTTCTTACACTGCTACCCACAGACATCCTCCCTGCACCGCAGAAGACTGTGAGGACATCAAAAAGGTGGGGCACTTTGGTTGATCTGTGCCTGGTGGGAGAAGGCCAAACAGGTTTTTCTGCTTATTGTTTATGTTTATATTATAATTTATATTTTATTTTATATCTGTGGGACCATTGGCCCTGCCACAAGGATACTGGGACGATGCCAAGTCCCCCAAGATTGTGGCATCATTAGATTTTGGAGTTGCACCTATCTCTCTACCTATCTCTAAACAGAGCTTCTAAAATAGACAGCACTCCTGTTGGCTTGGCAGATGAAGAAGGACCATCCAGGCTTTTAGTGTCTGGCCAGAGTTCAAAAGTTACAAATTTAGAAAAGATTATTAATGCAAATTCATTACCTTTTCTCGAAGATTCTGTAAACTTCACAGCAGTGCCAACAGTGGGTTCTGATCATGGATAACCATTTATACCATGCAAACAAATTGCAAGATCCAAGGAACTAATAGTCAAAACTTGGTCAGGTCCCTCGGTGAGGTCATGCCTGAACTTAATGCTGTGTGGCAGGCAATGATATGCCTGCTGAGGCCAAGGCAGGATGCTGCCATGGGGCAGAGGGGACAGAGAGAGCAAAGCACTCCAAGAGATCCCCTGGTGGGAGAAGCAGAGGCTCTTCCCTTCCCAGGACTTCCTAATCCCAGAAAGTTGGATGAATGAAGGGATGGGAGGGCATTCAACTTGGTAGTCCTCCCTTGGAACTACAAATATCTGACAATATTCATTTTAAAGATCAGTTCCATGCTGTTCACATCCTGACCTAYGGCAAGACCTCATGACATCCCGTCTTTTGAAATGATTCAAACTTCCCTGTAAAATACCTTCCCCCACCTTTTTACATTTCCTGTCCACGCCTTCACCCTACCTGGATGTGCTATTAGGAATGAAAGGATCCACATGGGATCCTTCCAGTGGCCCTCTTTCTTCCCTCAATTGGCACAGACTAGTGTGAGCCTGCGAGTCCCTGCAGTGCCTGCACTGGGTCCCTTGGCGATGGCCTTGTAGTTCTCCTGCTGCCTCTTCTGTCTCCACGCTGTAGCTCTCCTTTCTGTCAACTCTGAAACCACACAAACCATCCTCCCCAGCATCCTCTGATGCCCAGATGAGCAGCTGCTGATCCTCAGCCACATATTCCTGCCCCTTCGGGGTTAGAAAGAAGGCTCTCCCTGACCTCCAGCAGAGAAGCCAAAGTTCTTGCAGAGGAACTCCAAGCCCTGCACCATGTGACCACCCAGAACTCCCTCCCCTTCTCCTCTATCCTCCCCATCCCTTGCCCCATTCTCCCCACTAAGCTTCCCTGTGTTCTCCCTCCAAGAACTTGTCACTAGCCTGCAAGGCCTTCCCCCAGATACAGCATGGCTGGCTACCCCTCCTCCAGCAAGTCCCTGCGCAGAGGCCACCTTCTCCATGAAGCCAATCCATCTCCTAAAATTGCAACACACGTGCCCTGCCCCACCCCCACACCTCCACGCCCACTTCGCCCTCCTCTGTCTCCTGTGGTGCTTATCAATATTTCATTTTTCTTTGCCTCACCCCACCAGAAGGCAAGAACTTGCATCTGTGTTCTTCACGCCACTGTCGTCAGCACCAAGGACAGTGCCCGGCACGTAGTAGATGCTCCATCAATGACTGCCTGTTGCAGGGAGGAAGGGTAGGAGTGACCTAGTGCAGGCACTGCAGGGGACTCGAAGACCCACACTAGTCTTTTGTGCACATTCTGTGTGGGCATGAGAAGTCTGCCATATGCTTTTTTWAAATTATTCTTTTTCAAAAACTTTTTTAAATTGAGATATAATTGACAAACCATAAAATTCATCCTTTTTTTTTGGGGGGGGGGTATATCTACAAGGTTGGGTGACCATCAACCACTATCTAATTTCAGAACATTTTCTTTTTTTCTTTTTTTTATTGGTTGTTCAAAACATTACAAAGCTCTTGACATATCATATTTCATACATTAGATTCAAGTGGGTTATGAACTCCCATTTTTACCCCAAATACAGATTGCAGAATCACATC